CTGTGAAGAAGGTCACTGGTAGCTTGATGGGGATAGCGTTGAATCTGTAAATTACTTTGGGCAGTATGGCCATTTTCATAGTATTGATTCTTCCTAACCACGAGCATGGAATGTTTCTCCATCTGTTTGTATCTTCTCTTATTTCATTGAGCAGTAGTTTGTAGTTCTCCTTGAAGAGGTCCTTTACACTCTTTGTTAGTTATATTCCTAGGTATTTTATTCTCTTTGTAGCAATTGTGAATGACAGTTCGTTCTTGATATGGCTCTCTTTAAGTCTGTTATTGGTGTATAGGAATGCTTGTGATTTCTGCACATTGATTTTGTATCCTGAGACTGCTGAAGTTGCTTATCAGTTTCAGGAAAGTTTGGCCTGAGACAATGGGGTCTTCTAAATATAGTCATGTCATTCTGCAAATAGAGATAATTTGACTTCCTCCTTTCCTAATTGAATACCCTTTATTTCTTTTTCTTGCCTGATTGCTCTGGCTAGAACTTCCAGTACTATCTTGAGTAGGGGTGGTGAGAAAGGGCATCCTTGTCTAGTGCCAGATTTCAAAGGGAATGCTTCCAGTTTTTGTCCATTCAGTATGATATTAGCTATGGGTTTGTCATAAATAGCTTTTGTTATTTTGAGATACCAAGTTTATTGAGAGTTTTTAGTATAAAGGGCTGTTGAATTTTGTCAAAGGCCTTCTCTGCATCTGTTGAGATAATCATGGTTTTTGTCTTTGGTTCTGTTTATGTGGTGGATTGCATTTATAGACTTGTGTATGTTAAACCAGCCTTGCATCCCCAAGATGAAGCCTACTTGATCATGATGGATAAGCTTTTTGATGTGCTGTTGCAATCAGGTTGCCAGTATTTTATTGAAGATTTTTGCATCTATGTTCATCATGGATATTGGCCTGAAGTTTTCTTTTCTTGTTGAGTCTCTGCTGGGTTTTGGTATCAGAATGATGCTGGTCTCATAAAATGATTTGGGAAGGATTCCCTCTTTTTGGATTGTTTGGAATAGTTTCAGAAGGAATGGTACCAGCTCCTCTTTGTATGTCTGGTAGAATTTGGCTGTGAACCCATCTGGACCTCGGCTTTTTTTGGTTGGTAGGCTATTAATTGCGGCCTCAACTTCAGCCCTTGTTATTGGCCTATTCAGGGTTTTGACTTCTTCCTGGTTTAGGCTTGGGAGGATGCAACTGTCCAGGAATTTATCCATTTCTTCCAGGTTGACTGGTTTATGTGCATAGAGTTGTTTGTAGTAATCTCTGATGGTAGTTTGTATTTCTGTGGAATCGGTGGTGATGTCCCCTTTATCTTTTTTTATTGCATCTATTTGATTATTCTCTCTTTTCTTTTTTGTTGATCTTTTCAAAAAACCAGCTCCTGGTTTTATTGATTTTTTTGAAGGGTTTTTTGTGTCTCTATCTCCTTTAGTTCTGCTCTGATCTTAGTTATTTCTTGTCTTCTGCTAGCTTTTGAGTTTTTTTTATCTTGCTCCTCTAGTTCTTTCAATTTTGATGATAAGTTGTAGATTTTAGATCTTTCCTTGTTTCTCATGTGGACATTTATTGCTACATGTTTTCCTCTACATACTGCTTTAAATGTGTCCCAGAGATTCTGGTGTGTTGTGTCTTCATTCTTGTTGGTTTTGAAGAACGTCTTTATTTCTGCCTTCATTTCATTGTTTATCCAGTCAACATTCAATGTTTGCTTGGTAAACTTCCTCCATTCCTTTATTTTGAGCCTATGTGTATCCTTACATGTGAGATGGGTTTCGTGGATATAGCACACCCATGGGTTTTGGCTTTTTATCCAGTTTGCCCGTCTGTGTCTTTTGATTGGGGCATTTAGCCCATTTACATTTAGGGTTAATATTGTTATGTGTGAATTTGAACCAGCCATTTTGATGCTAGCTGGTTGTTTTGCCTGTTAGTTGGTGTAGTTTCCTCATTGTGTCAATGCTCTTTAGCATTTGGTATGTTTTTGGAGTGGCTGGTACTGGTTGTTCCTTTATATGTTTAGTGCTGCTTTCAGGAGCTCTCGTAAAGCAGGCCTGGTGGTGGTGAAATCTCTGAGTAATTGCTTGTTTGTAAAGGATTTTGTTTCTTCTTCGCTTATGAAACTTAATTTGGCTGGTTATGAAATTCTAGGTTGAAAGTTCTTTTCTTCAAGGATGTTGAATATTGGCCCCCACTCTCTTCTGGCTTTCAGGGTTTCTGCTGAGAGATCTGCTTTGAGTCTGATGAGCTTCCCTTTGTGGATAACCTGACCTTTCTCTCTGGCTGCCCTTTGCGTTTTTTCCTCATTTCAACCCTGGTGAATCTGACGATTATGTGCCTTGGGCTTGCTCTACTTGAGGAATATCTTTGTGGTGTTCTCTGTATTTCCTGGACTTCAATATTGTCCTGCCTTGCTAGATTGGGGAAGTTTTCCTGGATAGTATCCTGAAGAGTGCCTTCCAGCTTGGATTCATTGTCTTCGTCACATTCAGGTACACCTATCAAATGTAGATTATCTCTTTTCACATAATCCCATATTTCTTGGAAGCTTTGTTCATTTCTTTTTACTCTTTTTTCTCTAACCTTGCCTTCTTGTTTTGTTTCATTGAGTTGATCTTTGACCTCTGATATCCTTTCTTCTGCTTGGTCAGTTAGGCCATTGAAACTTGTGTATACTTTGCGAAGTTCTCGTGTTGTGTTTTTCAGCTCCATCAATTCATGTATATTCCTCTCTAAGCTGTTTATTCTTGTTAGCATTTTGTCAAACCGTTCTTCAAAGTTCTTAGTTTGTTTGCATTGGGTTAGAACATGTTCTTTTAGCTCAGAGAAGTTTCTTATTACCTGCCTTCTGAAACCTATTTTTGTCAATTCATCAGACTCATTCTCCATCTAGCCTTCTTCCCTTGCTGGTGAGGAGTTGTGATCCCTTGTAGGAGGAGAGGTGTTCTGCTTTTGGGTGATTTTTTTCCTTTTTGTGCTGGTTTCTTCCCATCTTTGTGGATTTATTTATCTGTGGTCTTTGTAGTTGGTGACTTTCAGATGGGGTCTCTGAATGGACGTCCTATTTGTTGATCATGACATTATTTCTTTCTGTTTCTTTGTTTTCCTTCTAAGAGTTGGGCCCTTCTGCTGGAGGTCCACTCTAGACCCTGCTTGCCAGGGGATCACCTGCAGCGGCTGTAGAACAGGAAGTGTTGCTGCCAGTTTCTTCTTCTGCTATCTTTGTCCCAGAAGGATACCCACCAGATGTCAAGCTGAGTTCTCCTTTTTGAGATGACTCTTTGTATATATGGGTGTCGGGGAGCTGCTTGAGGAAACACTCTGTCCTTTATAGGATCTCAAGTGCTGAGTTGTGAGCTCTGTTCTTCCATTCAGACCTGCTGGGCCAGGTACATTAATGTCTGCTGCTGCAGAACTCATAACTGCCTTTTTTTTCCCAGGTGCTCTGTCCTGGGAAGGTAGGACTTTATAAGTTTCTGTCATGCTGCTGCCTTTTTTCAACGATGCCCTGCCCAGTGAGGAGGCAGCTTATTCACTGTCTGCCAGCAGAGTTGTTGCTGAGCTGCTGTGGGCTCCGCCCAGCTGCCATGTGAACTTTCCTGCAGTCCTGTTTATAGTGGTATAGTTAGAACTGCTTCGGCAGTGGTGGCCCGCCTCGGCAGTGGCAGACGCCCCTCTCCCACAGAGCTGGACCATCCTGGGTTCAGCTGTGCTTGCTGTGAAACTCTCAATCCACAGCGTTTCAGATTGCTGTTCTTTTTGGGGGTGGGACTGGCCGAGCCTGATAACCTGCCCCCCTGCCCCCCCCCCCTTTTTTTTTTTTTTTTTTTTTTTAGTTGAACAGGTGACTCTGTCTCCCAGGCTTTCCAGTCATCAGTTGATACGGCACCCAGATTTGTGTGAGATTTTGTGCGCAGACCCACTGCACCAGCTGAAACAGCCATGCTAGAGACTCGTGGCACTTTGTCTTCCAGGAATCTCCTGGCCTGGCTCCCAGTTTCAGTCCCCTTTTTATCAGTTGAATGGACGACTCTGTCTTCCAGGTGCCCCAGTCGCCAGCTGAAAGGGCTCCCAGACCCATGTGAGTTTTTTGTGCGGATCCACCATGCCGGCTGAAACAGCCACGCTGGAGACCCGTGGTGCTCCTCGGCCTGGGAATCTTCTGGTCTGTGGGCAATAAAAATCTGTCTGGAAATGCCACGACCGCTCACCCTCTGCGCTCTCCCTGAGAGCTGCAGTCCAGAGCTGTTCCTACTCGGTCATCTTGGATCCCTCTGCAAGAGAAGTTTTAAGACTACTCAGGCAGGAATCTAGAAAAGAGAAGCTGGAATTGGAAATAGCAGGAGGCAGTAGTAGGAAGCTAAGCAGCCTAATATAGTGGTTGTCAATTTTGGCTGCACATTGGCACCACCAAGGAATCTTAAAAACATAATTTATGCTTGGTTCCCATCCCTAGAGATGCTGATTTAATTGGTCAGGGCTGTGGCCTGGGCATTAGAACGTTTTGAATTACCCACTTGAATTTGCGGTCAAGACTGAGAACCAATGGTCTAGAGAATAAAACTGGTTTAGAACTGAAAGAATCCTTGGTTCTCACAGTGCCTCAGTTCCAAGTTCTCTCCACTTGAGATAAATTGGAGATTATTGTAAAATGTAAATATAGTACTTCTGTATGTGTTCTCTAGGAGATTTGATGCTTTTTAAGACTTGTGATTATTTAGGTTTGTCATTGGTGGGAAACAAAGCATGAGTGAATCTTTAGCATCTGGAAGGAATGGGCAGATTCATATATAAGCAAAGTGTGAACCACTGTGCTTTTTTTTTTTTTTTTTTTTTAATTTAAGTTTCAGGATACATGTGCAGGATGTGCAGGTTTGTTACATAGGTAAACGTGCCATGGTGATTTGTTGCACCTGTCTCAACCCTCCGTGCTTGTCATTGCTATTTAATAATAGTAATAAATTTTCGTGGATCAACTTATTTAACATTATGTTGTTTACACAGGTTGCCTGTGATTTGCTTCGGAGAATTATTCGTATCTTGAATCTCAGTAAGAGACTCCAAGGACAACTGCAAGGGGGAAGTAGAGAGATAACAAAAGCTGCTCAGAGTCTCAATGAACTTGGTAAGTTTTTTTTTTTTTTTTTTTTTTTTTAATTAAAAAGTTAGTAGAGATTTAAAGAGTTTTTAAGTCACTTGATCGGTTGACTTGTTATCACCACTAGCAAGTAGTGTTAAATTTTTTAAATAATTGGCTGCATACAATATTGTAACCACTCTCAGAATGAGTAAGTACAATTAGTTGATTTCTTTGAAATGCCATTTATTTTAATTATAGTAAAATCGGCCTTTTTTCATATACTTGTCTGTGAATTTTAACACATATATAGGTTCATGTAAGCACCATTACAGTCTTGATACAGAACAATTCCATCACTCCCCCACATTCCCTCATTATCCCTTCATGATGACGCCTACCTGCTTCCACTAATCCTGGCAACCACTGATCTTTTCTCAATCATTGTGGTTTTGTCTTTTTGAGAATGACATATAAATGGAATTACAAAGTATGTAACCTTTTGAGAATGTCTTCTTGTACTCAAAATAATACCTTTGTGATTTATTCAAGTTTTGGGGTGTACTAATAGTTTGTTACTTTGTGTTTGATTGAATACCATTGTATGAGTGTCCTGTAGTTTGTTTATTGATTCACTGATTGAAGGACATTTGTGTTTCCAGTTTTTGGTGATTATGAATATAGCTGCTATGAACATTAATGTACAGATCTTTATGTGAAGTTAAATTTTCTTTTTTCTAGGAAATATTCTAGAGAAACGATGCTTTTAAGATGACAAATCCCGTGTTGATACTATGCCTAGCAGATTTTAAAAAATTATTTATTTGTTCATTCTTTCCTCAAACATTTATTACAGGACCTCGACAGTCAAGCATTTAATGTCCATGGTTTTGACTGTTAACCAGCTGCCAAGTCCATAATGCAGCACATCGTAATTTTTCAGGCAAAATTTTGAATAGCTAGTGAGTGCACATAGAACTGCCCAATGCTGTGTTGTAATGAGGCTTGGTGGTTTTCTTTTCACTGGGTACCTAATAGTTTTTCTGAGTGGATGTATGTAGTGGTATTTGTACTTTACAGGTTCAGAAGTCTTTGATTATATCCATTTCAGATAGTAAGAGTCTGCTTACTTTTGGGTTGTGCTTTGAAAGCAGTTATGCTAAAATAGTATCTGAGAAATGTGCATTACATGTTCTTTCTGAATTTTCCTGTCTTTGATTTTTCTATTATATAGTCATACTTATTCCATATTTTTTAAATTAATCAAGGAAATCTATCCTTCACAAATAAGGCTTTGACAGCATTACAGTTATATACTGCTCAAATACAGGTTTTGCTTAGGAAAATAATTGGAAATGTCTCTAACTTGTGATTTAGTATGCTTAGAATATGTTATATAAGAAGTTAAACTTTTGAGCTGAATATGGTGGCTGGTTCCTGAAGGCCCAGTTACTTGGGAGGCGAAGGCAGGCAGTATTGCTTGAGGCCAGGAGTTTGAGACCAGCCTGGATGAACAGAACAGATCTCCTCTCATTCTAAAAAAAAAAATAAAAATTGAGAAGTAAAGAAAGTTAAAACAAAATAAAAGTTTAGCATTGTAGCATGTGCCTGCTGTCCCAGGTACTTGGGAAACTGAGATGGGAGGATCACTTGAGCCCACAAGTTAGAGGCTGCAGTGAGCTGTGATTGCACCAGTGTTCTCCAGCCTGAGTGAGAGAGCAAGATCTTGTCTCATAAAAAAAAAAAAAGTTAACTTTTTAAACAGTGAGTGATGCTTGTGTGTTGTTTTCGCGGTATGATCTAAACATAGAAGTGTGAAAATTCAAGTATCAGCTACTGTTTTGCTGTATCACATTTAATATCTGTGTACCAACAATAGTTTGTGGGATTATGGAATCATTAAACCCTGATGCATATTACTACAAGGCTTATTAAGTATGTTTCTCATCACTGACATGCCTTTCAGTATTAAAAGATTGCTAAATTTTGATTGGATTATGATTATCATTTCTTCTGTAATAGATGCTGTAATACAAATGGTGATTCTTTAAAAAAAAAAAGGCACAATTACGGAACATAATGTTCTGAGTTGGTATAATGCAGAGTGTAAAACCATTATCCTTCCAGTGTGTTGTTGGCTTTACCTAAAGTTTTTATAAAGATTGTTAAAAAGTTTTTGAGAAACTATAGTTTATGGTGGAATGATCTCAAAGTGGATTGAAGTAATCTAATTTTTTAAAGCTTTGTAGTGATATGCGATTTAATATTTGCAAAGATACCATGCCTTTTTCATTCACCACTGTAGTTCAGTCTTGACTGGTCCTGGTATTTATAACTAATAAGGAGAAACCAAGGAAAAATAAATTACTATATGTGAAATTAATTCGTGAATAAAAGTAATAATTTTGCATTAACTATTATATATACTAAATGACACTTCTACAATTGGAACATCTCTAAAATTGTCAGTGTCTTTGTCAGTATGGTTCTGTTTTTCATTAGAAAGAATAAAATGATGAAGAATAGCAGTGTTTATACCACAGACCCTTGAAATTAACTTAAAAGCAATCTTTCAAATCTGAAAGGTTTTGAGGCTTGATTTGGGATGCCCACATGAAATACATTGTCATCTGGAAATTAAGTATATTCTGTGAGACTAGGGTATGGAGTGACTACTAGTGGATACAGATTTCTTTTTAGGGTGATAAAAATGTTCTAGAATTAGTTAGTGGTGATTGTTGTGCCACTTTGTCAGTGTACTAAAAACCACTGCATTGTATACTTTGAAAGAAAGAGTTTTATGTTATAGAAATTTGAAATTCATCCGTGTTGTGTGTATTAATACCTTTGCATTTTTATTATGGACTAGTATTCCATTGGTATATCACAGTTGCTTTATCCATTCACGTGCTGATGAACATTTGGGTTATTCCTAATTTTTTAATACTATAAATTGAGCTGCTATGAACATTTATGTACAAGTCTTTGCATGAACATATCCTTTCATTTCTCTTGGATAAATACCTAGGATTGGAATGTCTAGATCATATAGTAGGTATATGTTTAGCTTTTAAGAAGTTGCTAGCATATTTTTCAAAGTAGTTGTAATGTTTACATTCCTACCAGTAGTATTTGAAAGTTCTACTTCCCCCTACAACCTTGCCAACACATGTTACAGTCAGTCTTCTTAATTTTAGTCACTCTAATAGGTATATTGTGGTATCTCGTTTTGAGTTTTCAAAGAAAGCTACTGTAACTAATAAAAGAGTTGAGGAAGATTTCAGTATACTAGATAAACATACAAAAAATTAATTGTATTTCTGTATACTCTATTAGCAACAATCAATTGGAAATTGAAATTCAGAAATACCACTTATAACAGCATAAAAATAACGACAGACTTAGGGATAAATCTAAAAAAAGATGTGCAAAACCTGTAAACTACAAAATATTGTTGAGAACAAAGAAGATCTAAATCAACCAACCAATTTTGTTCATTAATTAGAAGACTTAATATTGTTTATTAAGATGTACACTCTTCCCAACTTGATCTATGAATTTAACTCATTTTCAGTTTAAATTCCAGGAGGCTTTCAGAAATTGACAGGCTGATTAAAAAATTCATATGGAAATTCAGAAGATCTAGAATAGCCAGAATAACTTTCAAGAGAAAACAGAGTTGGAAGAATAACCCTGCCTGATTTGAAGACTTTATATTATAAAGACTCCTTTTAGTAATCAAGACATAAAGATCAATGGAACAGAGATCCCAGAAATAGACCCACATATATATGAACAACTGATTTTTGGCACATTTAGTAGAGAAAAAATAGTCTTTTCAACAGATGGTGTAGGAACAATTGAATTTCAATATGCAAAACAGTGAACTTGTATCCATACTTGACTTTATATAAAAATACTAACTCAGAATGAATTCATGTCCTAAATGTAAAACCTGAAACCACAGAAGCTAAAGGAGGAGACAGAAGATTTTTTTATTTTTATTTTTTTCTTTTCTTTTAAAAAAAATTTTAAATTTTACTTTTTAAGCTCTGGGATATGTGTACAGAAGGTGTGGGTTTGTTACATAGGTATACATGTGCCATCGTGGTTTCCTGCACCTATCAACCTGTCATCTAGGTTTTCTTCCTTTTTTTTTTTTTGAGATGGAGTCTTATCCTCATTGCCCAGGTTGGAGTGCAATGGCATGATCTCCACTCACTGCGATCTCCGCTCACCGCAACCTCTGCCTCCCGGGTTCAAGCGATTCTCCTGCCTCAGCCTCTCAAGTAGCTGGGATTACAGGCATGTGCCACCATGCCCAACTAGTTTTGTATTTTTAGTAGAGATGGGGTTTCTCTTTGTTAGTCAGGCTAGTCTTGAACTGACCTCAGGTGATCTGCCTGTCTTGGCCTCCCAAAGTGCTGGGATTACAGGTCTGAGCCAACACATCCAGCCTAAGTTTTAAGCCTCACATGTTTTAGGTATTTGTCCTAATGCTCTCCCTCCTTTTGCTCCCCGGCCTCCAGCAGTCCCTGATGTGTGTTCCCCTCCCTGTGTCCAAGTGTTCTCATTGTTCAGCTCCCAGTTATAAGTGAGAACATGCAGTGTTTGGTTTTCTGTTCCTGTGCTAGTTTGCTGAGGATGATGGCTTCCAGCTTCATCCATGTACCCACAAAGGACATGAACTCATTCTTTTTTATGGCTGCATAGTATTCCATGGTCTATATGTACCACATTTTCTTTACTTAATCTGTCATTGATGGGCATTTGGGTTGGTTCCATGTCTTTGCTATTGTACATACTGCTGCAGTAAACATACATGTGCATGTGTCTTTACAGTAGAATGATTTATATTCCTTTGGGTATATCCCCAGTAATGGGATTGTTAGGTCAAACAGTATTTCTGGTTCTAAATACTTGAGGAATCACCACACTTTCTTCCCCAACTGTTGAACTAATTTACATTCCCATCAGCATTGTTGAAGCGTTCCTATTTCTACACAGCCTTGCCAGTATCTATTGTTTCTTGACTTTTTAATAATCAT